GGTTGTGGTGATGATGAGGATGTGTCAGACGTGCTGTTGTTGCTTCAGTCTCAAGTCGGGCACTCAGTGCATCGGACTCTTCTGTTTTGTAAGTTTTCAATTGACTTACTTTCTAAGATTAATTTAAATCAATATACGAGGTAAAGTTGGTGCAAAAGGTCTAATTTTACAACAGCATTTTTTAAAGAAATATATCAGGTCCCTCACGTGACGGAATATATTTCGATGATACTTCGAAAGCCTAATTTTATATTGTATTCGCTGAAATCGCTCGAAATCGAGAAAAAAAATTCCTCACAAGTCTCAGAAGAAATTTTTTGATCCATCACTCGCAATGTTCTTTATTCAAACGGACGAACAACTACCAAAACAAATATAAATATAATTTCTAATTTAAATTACCGGACGTGCAGAATTGAAATTGCAGAAAAGTTGCATAAAATTTTCCCGGAAGTTTCGAAAGTATTTGGCAGCATGACGTTCGAGTCGAAATTTCTGCTTCATTTGAACAATGTCACGCGAAATTACATTTTATATATTGATTCAAAAAACGGAAAAAATTTAAACTGTCATTCGTAAGTTTTTCCAAAATGTTTACATGAATGTCTAAAGTTACGGAGGCTTTCTGGAACCAGACGATTTTTTGGGTCACAAATTCGAAATCGAACAAAGGCAAATCCCATAAACCATGTTTAACTGCCCAATAATCTTCTTCCTGCTCATTTTGATTAATTATTGCATGATGTAGGCGTATTAAAAATTATTCAAAACCATTACTCAAGTTTCATTACCCGACAGTTGCGCTGAGAATTTGAGATATTTCCCAAGTACAGTAGTAATTTATTTTCTTCAAGGTAAAAAAAGAAATCCGGACTTTCAAAACTTGGCAAGCATAAAGTCCTCCAAGACATCAATCGTGAAAGTAAATTTCTAATGAACTTACAGTAAATGATATTGTTCCATTGACATCCCGACACATTTTCATACGCTGATATATTTTCAACTGTAAGCAATTGCGAACTTTCTCCAGTCTATTTCAAACATTGAATCCCACGAAATTCCAGGCAGATTACGTAACTGAACGAGGGGTTACACGTTTCCGCGCGGAAACGTTTCGGCACGGACTCGATGATTGGAACATCCGGGATTTTTTAAAAACATTTTTCTCAGGATTGCTAGTTCCAATAAGAGGCCAGGCAGACACTTTCTCAATATAATCAACACCAATTCTTACACATTTCTCAGCTCTTCTGATCCATTCGCTGAAACAGGCATATTGAAATATTCAGTGATTAAATTTTGAACCTTTGGCAAGAGAACAGCAGCAACAGGCTGATCCGCGCGGAACCGTGTAACCCCTCGTATTCCACAAATACCATGTTTTACGGCAAAATTTAGATCCCACTGCTTTCAGACCATCGACCGTCCGGAAAAGAAAGGTGTTTTTTTTACAACAGTAAAGACAAGCATTCGATGGGGAGACACTCAGAATTGCTAGGCAACCTGGGCAAGTCCTCCCTCACAACACTGCCCTTACGCCACATGTTTTCTCAATCTCTGACAAGGCTAGTTATAGCATTGTTTCTTGATTTTTTTCTTGCTCCTGGAAAGCCAAACAGTCATCGTGCAGAATATTTTATTGTTACTCAAATCATAAACAAGGTTTGTCCTAATGCGTGGAGAATTTAATCAAGTCCGGGAAAGTCAGAAACCTCTGTTAAATACAAGAATACAGTTCATTGAAGTACAGTATTTTAGCATTAAAATATATAGAAAAAACAGCGCACGCATCAGAAGTTTTGTTCTAGACCGCGGAAGAAAGTTTCGAATATATTTTCGAATTAATTTTTGGAAATACGGTACTTAGATGCATACGGCCTTTTTTAAAAAGATTTTCCAACTTATTTCACAACAGTCGTAAATAAGATGATGCAAATGCCGTTCAATGTCAAAACCCCGAGGAAAATGTCAGAAGAGAGAGAGACAGAGAAAATGATTTAATCACAGAAGTGAGTGACATGACGAAAATATCAGGAATCTTATTTTAGATTAATTTTAAAATTCTGTAACCAACTATAATTTATGATTACCGGAGAAATCTGATTAAAAACTTGATGCACGTTCTGAGCGGATAATGAGACATAAAAAAATATTTTTTGGCATGAATGTATAATTTATTTCTAGAACAGGGCCAGAGATACAGTTTTCGACTCCGCTGTGGCCTATATTCAAAAATACCTCAACAATAGGCCGCATCAAAGTTATTCCAAATTTATTTTCCGATAGAAAATTCGATCCATCCACGCGAGAAATAGAACGACTCATTTTTCATGATTAATTTTAGAATTTGCGGGAAGTGATATTTTTCGTGAGCGAGAATACTACCCATATTTACAATTGAATTTAGAAGCGATATTTAAGCGATAGCCATATTTACAATTGCCCATATTTACGATTTAGAAGCGTGGATTTTATGCATCGATTTTAATAATTTCAACTAACCTGATGCCATGCCATCACCTCATTACGATCGAGCCCAAAAAATGGAATGATTTTTTCGTCAGCCGTGTTCAATCGAAACTAAAAATAACCGTTCTTTTTTCGTTCTTCAAATTTTCGAAAAATCGTGCAACATTTTGGTATATCCGTCGAATGTGATTCATGTCAATTTCGCAGGTTCTTTCGACCATCAACTTGTCTTCTTCCCTGTACCAAATACTCACCAAGGTCCACACAAGCAGTCTGGGTGAGTTGTCACACGTAATTTCCTACAGAAAATGTTGTAAATAATGTAAAGTTATTTCCTTCTGCTAATTTTATAGCTCTGAAATCTCTGCTCGTTGGATACTGCGTGCTCTACGCTTCGTTCATCGTTTTGTCTATCGGAGTCATCTATGGAGCTCAAGCTGTGAGTTGATATTTTTTCACGTGACGAATTCCGAGGATTTCCAAAATCGATACATCTATTGGCGCTTCCCTCGCGCCAAAAAATTGACACAAGATTCCTATTTTTCTTTTGCACGATAAAAATTAATTCAGAATATGCGCACAACAGCAGCAGTATTTTTGTCCGTCTTCGTCCTTTCGCACGGATAAAAAAAAAATGGTTTATTATTTCAGTTGTGAAACGCGTGGATTTTGTTGTCGAGAACTTTTAGAATCACTGGGAAAGGCAGAGCAACAATTAGGAGAAAAATGCAGAACGGACAAATGTTCGTGAGAACAGTCGAGCATAATCAAGCAATAGAGAAACTCGAAAGAATGCGCGGATGGCAGAAAGCCAAATCTTTCGCGGAAGTCGGAAGAAACACGGAACATTTGCATTTTAGGCAGTACTGTACTTTTTGCGTCAAATTCAAACTCAAGGTAGTGTTAACAGGATTACAGAGGCTTGGAAAAAAAAGTGGGAAACCTCGAAACAAGTAAAGATTCTTCGTGAATTAAAATTTGAACTTGAAGGATGAGAAGTTGATTTTTCGAAGAATTCTTAATCATTATTCTTTTACAAGCGTACGGAAATATTCAAACGGAAATTTCTCCTTATTTTGAATACGAACCTGAGTTCAAAACTTGGCATTTTTTCACGTTTTTGTAAAAATGAGGGTTTCAACCGATGCCCTACATAAAATAATTATGAAAGAAAGTCGCTTTTTCACGCAGTCCATCATCCGAAACGTGATCTGCCACATTTTTGTGGTTATTTCGATACGGAATAAAAATGAATACTGTAAGCGGCATTATCCAGGGTACCACTGTATTACAACTTGACAAAATCACACTCCAGCTTTTCGGATTTTGGTTGAAATTATTTAGCAAATATTCCAGCATTCGATATTGAATTTGAACATAAGAAAACACGATTCATCTTCTTTGCATATTTTCAGATTCCCAGCTTAATTGACTAAATTAAACCAATATTAATTTAACTAAATCGAATGAAACTTGATCAATTGGCCTGGGGATTATAAGCCCGTCATTTTCAATTCTGAGTCGGGGATGCTTGAAAAATTCCGTCCTTGTAAAATTTAGTTTACCAAGCAAATTCCCAGCTCAATTAACTAAGTTCAACTAATATTAATTTAACTAAATGGAATGAATAAAAGATTAATTAATTGCGTTGATAAAAGATGGCCCGCCATCTTTTATTCTGAGTCCGACTGCCTTCAGAAATTTTGGTTGAAATTATTTAGAAAATATTCCAGCATTCGATATTGAATTTGAACATGAGAAAACACGAGACATATTCTTTGCATATTTTCAGATTCCCAGCTCAATTGACTAAATTCAACTAATATTAATTTAACTAAATCGAATTGAACTTGATCAATTGGCCTGGTAATTATTAGCCCGTCATTTTTAATTCTGAGTCGGGGATGGTTAAAAAATTTCGTCCTCGTGAAATTTAGTTCACCAGGCTAATTCCCAGCTCAAATAACTAAATTCAACTAATATTAATTTAACTAAATAGAATGAATAAAAGATTAATTAATTGAATCGATAAAATATGGCCCGCCATATTTTATTCTGAGTCCGAGTGCCTTCAGAAATTTATTTTTTCTTCGTGGGATTTTCATTCAATATCTTAATTCCCCGGCAAATATGGTTCCGCTATGTTCATCTCAATGGCACTAGATTCATTTCCCTCTCGAAAGCACCCCAACTCAAAAAAAAAAAAAAAATAGCGGGTTAATAACCCACAAGGATAATTGCTAATATTTAATTCCTTCATCTCGATACACGTCAACACGGCTTATTTTTGTCGGGATTACCGACACCCCACACAACGTGACACCAGCAACACTCAAGGCTCCCACGCTCAACATCGTGAATGAATGACTAATTGAATGATTCCCACGCTCAATATCATGAATGAATGACAAATTCATCCATTTTTATCGTGTGTGATTTCTTTTCTTTCTTCTTTCTGGGCATCGATTGGCAAAAAAAAGAGGAAAGCCGTCTTCCCGGTGCTGTGGTCACTGTGCGCCTTGTCAATCGCGGGTCTGGAGACGGCCCACATTGCGCTCATTCTTCGCTCACAGAAGCAAAAACAACAGCAACAACCCACGGGTGACACGGATGTCGATGTCGATGACGAAGGGCAGAGACTCGCAATAGTCGCATCCACGTGCCACGCCCTCGTCATGACGTACTTTGCCTTCGTCGTGTGCAACGCGGCACTGGAAATACGACGGGATCCGGTCAAAGTTGAACAGACCAAAAGCCCACCGGATGAAAAAAATGGGGCATCCCACGATGATGATGATGATGATGAAGCCTATCAATTTAACAGCAATGCAGAGAAAGGCACGGAAGTCACGACTGCGATTTGATCTCGATTTTTTTTAAATAAAAAAAATGTGTAATGAGCGTGTTTCAATTTGAAACCCCGGGACAAAAGAAAACACCGGGAGTTTTTGCGTGCCATTCTCTCGCCTTTTTTTGTTTTTCTTGCCGCTGTCAGGCCTAAAAAATTTTTTTTAAATCGGTTTGTTCTCACAGAACTCGCAAAAAAAATCAAAACGGAACTTTTCCCACTTGTTGAGAAATTTCTTCTTGAAAAATCCTCGTCCGAGTTCATATCTGAAAATGTTCAACATACTTACACTTATTTTGGAAAGAATATTTTCAAATTCCTTGGTAGAACTCGATGATCTTGGAAAATTCCACAAAAATGCAAGCGGGAATTTCATACAGTTATCAGAAGAAATAATTCAGAGTTTCAAATTTTTCTCACTTCATTTTGAGCTGGCTGGGCGAAAATTTAAATAGTAGTCAGAAAATCGTCAAAACAATTATCATTAAATCAATGAAAAGGAAGGGTTCCTTTGTGTATCAATTAATGAGCAAGAAGTTGCCCAGGTCAGGGTTGCAATCGACGAAAATACACAGAAAGCAATTGTATTCCCAAAAAAATTATCTATCCCACGTATTCGTAAAATGCTGACTCAAAAATTGGTGCAACCACAGAACTTCAATTACAAGACATTAAAAAAAACTTTTAATCCTCCCCCGCGTATAATTAAAAAAATCGTTGGGTAATTTTTCACCATTGCATTAAAAATTTGCAATTAATCACCGAATGCTCTGCTTTTCAAAATCAATTTCCTAAAATTATTTCTCCACTTTTAATCGAGTGAATTCTCATATTCACTCTTCGTCGTTCCGCTTTGCCCAAAAAAAAAAATATGTACAACGTTGGAAATATTTTATATAAACTTCGTACTTTTTTTGAACACAACATTACTGCGGTAGTGTAAAAATAGAGATGAGGTCTTTGAGGTAATTTTAAAAAATTTGGATTTTGAAAATATTAAAAATGCGGGAGAAACGGCACGCGAATTTCTCAGGAAAAAATTATGAACGTCTCAATTCGAACATTTGAAGAATGGTTTCCTAAAAAGCGTGTGATTTTTATCCATTTTTTAATCCACAAAATTTCTTCAACGCCAACAAATTTGACTACAATACCGAAAAGAAAATGACCATGAAATGGAAGCTGAATTACGCAACCGATTTCTTAAATTTTCTTGGCACAGAAAAAGAAACTGTCGGCGAAGACGACGTTGAAGATTTGCTGCTTTTTTCAACGTTTTTTTTTACGACGATTGAATCAAATATTCAAGACAATATCCGGAGTGATTTCAAGCTTTTCATTCATATTCACGCGCATTTGGAATTTTCCCTCGGAGTCTTGCCGAAAAAAAAAAAAAAACTTGCATGAATATTCGCACTCGGGATGCGCACTGTGATTTTGTTGCGAAGATTGTATGTTTTCAGCTGGATATCGGTTGGAATGAAAATGAAGATATTATTTGGATCGACTTGAACCTTCATTTAGAAAATATTCCAGCATTGAACATGACCTTCCTGGTCCTTTATTAAATAATGCGCTTTACTACATTAAAACTGTTCATCTTTCTCCAGACGGACGCAACATCAAAATTTGAGCAGATTTTTGCGTTTGTACTCTTCATTGGACTGAAATTAAATTATAAATTATTTCTGCATTTTCATTTGTCGGCTAATGACTCAAACGTTCAGAAAAAAGTTAAAAAATCAAAATGAAAGTCGAGAGGGAATAATAAATATATGGATCCAAAAATGGAAAATTCGAATTTATAAATAGACAATAAATTTGCGACTATTCCGGCATCAAGTAAATAATTTGGAATGGCTCATTTTTATCAGGATTCTTCTCCCATTATTAGAACCGCACACCGTCAAGGGTAATAAAATACGAAGTAATAAAACTAAATCGTGGGGGTTTCATCAGCTAATATTGGAGAGGATTTTATCTATATCACTGAATCTATTCGAAGGTTGAAAGAAATCCATTACAGTATTTCATGTCTTCTAATAAAAATTATATCCAATTCGCAATGCTACATGAAAAAAAAAAGAATTCATCGCAGTCATGAAGCATTTTCTGCTTCACTTGTGAAGATTGCAAAAAATAACATTCTAAAGGCACAAGTTGAAGCGACTTTCATCAATTTTTTTTTTTACGTCAAAAAACGTAGAAAAAATATTGTCACCAGTCGTGAAATCGTTAAAAGAAAAAACGCGTGCCGAAAAAAGTTGAACGACCTCATCGTAAAAATAAAACAATAAATTCCCATGAACTCGACGTAGAATTCACAGCGTGCTTGATCAATTACACCACCCAACGATTTCAACAACAAAAAAAAGCTTTGTAAAACATATTTTTTGTTTACCCCGAGCATAAGACACCCACGAATCACCCCCCAACAGCAATTAGTTCAATTCGAATTCACATTTGAGTCACTGTTCCGAACATTCAGCTGTACAAAAATTCGTAATCACGAGAAAAAACAATAAAATAAAAACAAGTTGAGAACGACTTCGCTACAAGAAAACCATTCCTCGTCCTTCGTCGTTTCTGTCCTTGTCGACGATCGCACGCTTTTACATTTAGGTGATTTCTGAGTAGATTTCGCGCAAGAAGAAGTGAAAAAAAAATCATTATTACGTTTTCGAAACGGTCCTCAAAAACTTGATTTCGCGTCGCATTGTTGCTTTTCCTATTTGCACGCAAATGCTGCCAATACCACGACGACAGGGTGAACAATTTCGGAATTTTCCGGGAAATTTCCGAAGATTGCGGAAAAAAAATAAACAGCTAATGACAAAAATTTCATTTTTAGTTGATTTCGCGCTAGAAATATTGGGTGAAATTTAGACCACCTCTGCGAAATGGTGCTTAACAACTTGATTCGAGTGGCATGGTTGCTTTCTTATTTGCACGCAAATGCTGCCAATACTGCGACGACAGGTAAATAAAAAATACAATTCAGTGTCAATACTTCACATAATTCCATCGCGTAACTAGATGATATTTAGCAGTGGAATAAATTCACCAACTGCGTATTCAATATCAAGTTGAATAAATCCTGGTGAATTAATGACGCAAAATTTGTTTCCCGTAAAATCACAACCTCGACACGCTTTCGAAATTTGAAAACTCAATTCCAAGGCTTTACAAAAATAAATTTTGTCTGGACCATTTTGCAGTCGACAAGAGTTTTACTCTTACAAGAAATCGGTAAATTCGTGGATCATTGGGGACAACAATTGCATTGTAAAGTTTCAAGTGAAAAAGAGTCCCATTGAACTATGCCTAAACTGTAACTGAGGACGGTACTCTATTCCACTTTACAGAAATTCTTGACTAAACTATGAATTTCTCGCAAAAACCGAATGTTTTCTTTTGTCATTCGATATAATTTGCTTCGTCGGTGAATAAAATGACCTTCGAACACCCTCAGCAATTATAAAAATATTTACTAAAAATAACCGAACCGTTTTCGAAGTACCGTCTGACACCAGAAGGACTTCGAAGTACCGTCTGACATTAAACGACATTAAATTTTTTTTTTAAGTGCGTAAATTCTTAATTGCAGCTGACGTTGGACAAAAACCGGTAATTGTGTCGGGAACGGAAGCAACGTCGAGGACAGGCTTCGAACACCTGGCTCGAATTGACGCGTCGTTATTCGGAATCATCACAATTTGCACAGGGTCGCTGATCTCGCCAAAAATCGTCCTCACAGCTGGAAGTTGCGTCCAAAAATCCTTGCAAGTTTCCGCTAATTTCTTCATGGCATGAAAAGAAAACTAATTCAGCATCAAATGTTTTATAGAGTATTCCGATTGTGTAATACATCTGAAAAACGCATATTCCATCCGAAGCTATCTCATATTTCGCAAAATTTTCGAAGAAAATGTTTCTAGTTTATTTTCATTCTCTTTGACTCGAGAATATTCTAGACATTATTTTATCTTCCACATCAAAAATTCCTCGGAAATATGACAGAATATAATTGTTTCGTCAAATGGGAAAAACGATTCATCGTAAGCACAAATTAGTTAGTTCATTTGTTTCTAGTTTATTTTTATTTTTATTCTCTGTGACTCGAGAATATTTTAGACATTTTATCTTCCACATCACAAATTCTTCGGAAATATGACAGAATATAATTGTTTCTTCGAATGATAAAAACGATTCATCGTAAGCAGGCACAAAAACGTTATCAAGTACACGATGGATGTTTAGAGCATCACAAATGCGCAATTACTGGCAGATACTAATTTTAATCAATCGATATTTTGTTGAAACTTTCTCCACCGGTTGAACCTTGGGAAGCTTCCATAAAGAAATACTTCAGAATCAGCGTCATTATTCAAATTTAAAGCCCTGTACTCCATGAAACGAGGTCAAACACTTGGCATATTTTCGACTAAACAATTCTTCAAATTTGTATATATTTTTCAAATTATTTCGTTCCTGATTCACCCTATTCAAAATGTCATCGCGAAAAATATGAACGACTGGAAACCTTTTTTTACGTAGTCTAAATTTCATCGTCTGTCTTTTCAATCAAAATCACAAGGTGTGAAATGCTGCACTGAAAAATGAATTCCTGCTTACATTATTTTTCTCGTCAAAACAGATTGAAAATCTTCAGAATAAAATTCAAAAGCTGGGTCGTGACCCTGGGAGATTTATCAACTGCAAACTATGAAGAAGGAGAGCAGAAATTTGACGGAAAAGGGTACTCGTACCCATTCTACCCATCCACATACAGTGGAGCAGATCCGAAAAATATAGGACTCATCAAACTTCGAATCGCAGCAACAATTGACAACACAAATGTCAAAACAATCAGTTTGTCAACATCCACGTCGTTCACTTCCGGCACCACCGTCGGCGTTTCCGGATGGGGTGTGATCGACTCGAGCGTAGCAAGTTAGTTTTTGCGCAAAAACATAGATATTCAAAATGAGACTAGAAGATTTTCCAACTTTCGACGAGTGGCAAAAAAAATCAACATCGACAAATGAAGCCCAAAGGCCAATGGACAGTTTTTTATACTGCAAATAATTGCATACGATCACAAAAGATGGAAGAATCACTACGAATGACGAGATTCCCTTTTCACGTGAACGAATACAGCAAAACTCCGTCATTACAACAAATCTCGTTTTTACGAATTTTTTCGTTAGAACGATTTTTTCGGTCCGGGCAGTCTCCTATAGGCAATATGTTGTAAATATTTTTTTTTAATAACTCATTTTAGGCTGTAATCTCAATATAACGAATTTCTGGCCCTGATTATTTTACACAGGCAACAGGGATTATTAAAAAAAATGGCTGAAAATTGAAAAAAAAATCGAAATGGCGCAGCATTCCAACTTATTTCAAGACGCAAAAATTTCTGTAAATATAATGTAGAGTTCCAAAAAATACAATTTTAGTCTAAAATGTATTGAAACCCATGAATCTTGTTCTCGTCAAAACAAGGAATTTTCATTTACAACGAATTTTGTATCATGTTCCTAGGAGTTCGTTGTAACGAGAATTTACTGAATTGCAGAAAATTCAACCAAAAATTATAACATGGATTGAGCGGCGAACTGAACTGGTACATTACTTTTAAAATTCGGTCAATTTCTACAGTTTTTACTTGAAGAAAAATAATTTCATTTCAAATTTTCCGATAGTTTCAACATCCTGAAAAGCCTGAGTTTTCTGCTGAGTAAGTCACTTCATGGGTGGAATTCTTTCGTACTTCAGGTATAAAAAATATCAACCCAAGAATCTTAAATTTCCAATTTTCCTGTTGAAAACCGTAATGTACTTCACTTCTTGTAGGAAACTGAAGAATTATTCGGTGCCCAATGAATATCTTAATTCATTTTACAGGTTACTCAACTGACACTCTTCACTATGGTTACATGGACGTTTCAACTGTGGCCTATTGTGGTCTAACCACGGAAAAACCTGTCAGAAGACTGTGTTTAAAACCCTCGAGCACTACAACTCAGCAAACTGCGTGTTTTGTAAGTTCCAAGTGAAATTCTGCAAAAGACTCTCATGAATGACATCAAGAGAAAGCTTCCAGAAATTACTCCATCAAGGTTTGACGGCAAACTACATGATTTAAATTTCCGTGTACTGTAAACCACACAAATTCCCATTTTTTAAATACAAGGGGAAGGGATTTCTCTTCATTAAAATTCAACAGACCAGAAAAAATGGATCGCTGTCTTTACATAACAAATCTCTTAAAGCAATATTTCTCATGTTGCTTTAAGTTCCCTGGTCTTTTTACGTAGCGTACCTCTTAAAGTAGGATTTTTCATGTTGCCTTGAGTTCCCTGGTCTTTTTTTATGTATTGATGAGAGTATTTCTTTCTTAAGAGAACAACGAATTTCAACGGACCAGAAAACATTTATTGTACAGTATAGATAATTTCGTTCTAAATAGTACAACAAAATTCAAGGGATCAGAAAAAATGTGTTGTCCAGAGAATTTCGTTCTAAAAAGTAAAAAAAAAAGTCAATAGTCCCGAGAAAATTCGTTCCAGTGAATTTGTTTACCGGTCACATAAGCTGTTCATCCCATGTTATAGGCGGTTCTCCGCAATTAATTTTTTCTGGTCCCTTGAATTTCGTTGCATTCTTTAGAACAAAATTCTCCCAACAATACATTTTTTCTGGTCCCTAGAACTTCGTTGTAGAGAGAATCCACCAGGAGTTCCTAATATACTCCTTATATTCCAAGAACTTTTGTTAGACCCCTCATTATTCATCCATTAAGCTTGCGTCGCCAGAATCGGATTCGTTTGTATCTCATCCAATAAATTTTGATCTGGAATGAAGCTAAATTTCAGCGATTTTAGAGACATTATCACGTCTCATGCAGGGAATACTGCAAAAAATTCGCAGACCGAAAAATTGATTCAAACTTTTGATTGAAACAGGGTGATACAGGTGGACCAGTGGTTCACAATGGTCAACTCATTGCCATCATGACCTACACACCAGGAACAGTATCCTGCGAAAGCTCGGATTATACAGTTGGAACTCTGGTTGCCGCTTACGCAGATTGGATCAAGAAATTCAAGTTTGACAATTGAAATGAATAATGAATGCGTCTGTTGTTGTTCACGCGTCATATGTCGAGAATTTGGACACGCTGACTTTCCCAAGGATTTGCTAGCAATTATTTGTTTCGTTTCCCGTTGGAAATAATAAAGTACGAAGTACAAAATTTTTGTGATTTTTTTTTGTTTTATTTTTCATAACAATATTTCTGTATCACTACATCCAGGACGTGGCGTATTTTAAAACGCCGACTACCCTTTATATTATTTAAGCTCATCACATATGTTTTTTTTACGAAAAATATGTAGACAATCAAATTACTTTTTCCTATCTTTCAACGATCGGTTTGAGGACTAGTCTTGAAATTCAAAACAAACAAAAATGTTTCTTCCGATGAGCATTTAATTTCGGGTAATTTTCTAGATAGAATGATTGAAGGCATTATTGCGCAAAATCGATCACCGAAATCCGGCTCATCGCTGTTAAAAAAAACGGAAATAATTAATGTTGTAGTTCACTTTTTTCGGGCTACGGCAAAATTTGCATGAAAAAATCCAGCACCTTGGAAAAAAATATTGCGCGTTACACGTTAATAACCTCAAGATCCTCTGGTTTTCTGCCAATTTCTGCCACGCTGATATTTGATATTCTGTAAATCTTATTAAAAACAAGTTCATATTTACTTGTTCAATCACGCTAACATCTCCCGTGCTTTTAAAAATGCTTCAAGCAATGTTCAGGAATCCGTCATCCATTGTTTTCACAAAATTTCGCAACAATTACAGAAATGTATTGTTTAGAGAATTTCGTTATAAAGAGTACAACGAAATTCAAGGGACCAGAAAAATGCATCGCATGGAGAATTTCATCCTAAAAAGTACAACGGAACTCAAGGGACCAGAAAAAAATGTATTGATGAGAGTATTTCTTTCTTAAGAGAACAACGAATTTCAACGGACCACAAAAAATGTATTGTGTAGAAATTTCGTTCCAAAGAGTACAACGAAATTCAAGGGACCAGAAAAAATGTGTTGTCCAGAGAATTTCGTTCTAAAAAGTAAAAAAAAATCAATAGTCCCGAGAAAATTCGTTCCAGAGAATTTGTTTACCGGTCACATAAGCTGTTCATCCCATGTTATAGGCGGTTCTCCGCAATGAATTTTTTCTGGTCCCTTGAATTTCTTTGCATTCTTTAGAACAAAATTCTCCCAACAATACATTTTTTCTGGTCCCTAGAACTTCGTTGTAGAGAGAATCCACCAGGAGTTCCTAATATAATCCTTATATTCCAAGAACTTTTGTTAGACCCCTTATATTCATCCATTAAACTTGCGTCGCCAGAATCGGATTCGTTTGTATCTCATCCAATAAATTTTAATCCGGAATGAGCTAAATTTCAGCGATTCTGGAGACATTACCACGTCTCATGCAGGGAATACTGCAAAAAATTCGTAGACCGAAAAATTGATTAAAACTTTTAATTGAAACAGGGTGATACAGGTGGACCAGTGGTTCACAATGGTCAACTCATTGCCATCATGACCTACACACCAGGAACAGTATCCTGCGAAAGCTCGGATTATACAGTTGGAACTCTGGTTGCCGCTTACGCAGATTGGATCAAGAAATTCAAGTTTGACACTTGAAATGAATAATGAATGCGTCTGTTGTTGTTCACGCGTCTTATGTCGAGAATTTGGACACGCTGATTTTCCCCAGGATTTGCTCGCAATTATTTGTCTCGTTTCCCGTTGGAGATAATAAAGTACGAAGTACGAAATTTGTGTGATTTTCTTTTGTTTTATTTTTCAAAACAATATTTCTGTATCACTACATCCAGGACGTGGCGTATTTTAAAACGCCGACTACCCTTTATATTATTTAAGCTCATCACATATGTTTTTTACGAAAAATATGTAGAGTTTGTAGACAATCAAATTACTTTTTCCTATCTTTCAACGATCGGTTTGAGGACTAGTCTTGAAATTCAAAACAAACAAAAATGTTTCTTCCGATGAGCATTTCATTTCGGGTAATTTTCTAGATAAAATGATTGAAGGCATTATTGCGCAAAATTGATCACCGAAATCCGGGTCATCGCTGTTAAAAAAAACGGAAATAATTAATGTTGTAGTTCACTTTTTTCGGGCTACGGAAGAATTTTCATGAAAAAATTCAGCACCTTGGAAAAAATATTTTGCTTTAAACGTTAATAACCTCGAGATCCTCTGGTTTTCTGCCAATTTCTGCCACGCTGATATTTGATATTCTGCTTTAGAATAATTTTTGTTCAAGTATAAATGAACAAGTTAGTGCGATTGTAGAGGGCACGAAAATTTTTACGAAGTTCGTTACAAGTCCTTAGGCAGTAGGTAACAAAAGTGTTTTAAAGCGTTGTTATGCACGAATAAAAAAAAAGCAGGCCGAACGCTGATCACCCGGCAATAATTTCTGCGAACTTTTACGACAAAAAAGCATGAACAAAGCAAGCCGATAATTTTTCTGGCCCAATAACTTCTGCGTGTATACTGACGTTTTTTTACATATATTTTCTCTTACACGCTCTTCTTTATTTAGTGTAAGTTCAGGAGAAGTGTTCTTCATTTGAAGCGCAGTCACCTTTCTACTTCGACCTTTAACAAAAGGGAATTTTTGCGGTGTCATTCGTTTCTTTCCCCGCGGGAATTTTCACAACAGATTTCAACGTTGCCCGTCAAGGTGAGCTGTTTTTGACCCTGTACATATTTAAAAAAAAAAGAATTATCCCCGATACAGTGAGTAAAATACTGTAAATTCGAATACATTCTCAGAAGAATCGTGAAACGAAATAATGCCGATTCAATTTTTGTGCTACGTGAAAAATTATCTTGCCAAATAATCTTCTCAAATTGAGCTTGAAAATTATTAAAAATATAAACCGTACTTTATTCCCTCTGAAAAAAATCTGAAAAACTGGATTACTGTACTTCGAAAGCTTTCAGTGGCTTTTAAAATCAAAATATAATGTCCAATAGCGTCACTTGCTTCAAAAATGACAATTTTCGCAAAATAATTCTCTACAGCTGGAAATCGATTCACCAGGACGATATTTAAAAAAATTGTCAGCTCGGCGATTTTTCTTTAAAATTATTAAACGTGTTCATTTGGAGTATTAAAAAATGAACCAACCATTCCTGAAAATGAGTCGAAGGAAGGACGACGTTATCGATTTTAAAACACAATACTTTTTCAAATTGAAAGCTTTGAAATGCGGGCGTTTTTGTTTGAAACAAAAGATTTTCTTACAAATTTTCCTAAGGAAAAACACGGAGTGATTTATTAGGAATACGGTATAACGAAATAAATAATAATACACCACTAAACCAAAAGTCAGGGAAAATCGCACCGATCGTAAAAAAAAAATCAATTAATTCAATGATTTACCTCACACATGATGTTCGCCAAGGAATTCAAAAAGGATAACTTTCCTCAAATTTAAAGTAAAATGCGACGCAAAATTCATATTGATCATAATTTTCTCATTCATTCGAAACATATTTTGTCTCCAGTTTACTTCAAAATTTTACTAGGCGGAAATTCCCTCTTTTTCTTACAAAAGAAATAAAACTCAACACGTCCATCAATCGTAATTTTCATGATCTACTTGATTTTTTTTTTAGTTATGTACTCCGAACATAAAATCGGTATTACTTACGTAGAAACGCAAGAATCGTCTCCATGAAAAAAAAAACAAAGTTAAAATACTGTACATCTTACATCGAAATTTTAAAATTTAATCCAGTTTTCGATTCTCTTTTTCTTTCGACAAAGGAAACGACAGTGCACAACCAGCCATCGTTTCCGGAAGTCAGGTCACGTCAAGGACAGGTTTCGAACACGTTGTTCGCATTGATGCATCGATCATCGCAATCAGCACTACTTGCACGGGATCATTGATTTCCACAAGAATAGTCCTCACAGCTGGTAGCTGCATCATGAAAAGCTTGTAAGTTAACCTCGCTTTCAAAATAAATGCGAAGAAAATTCACTCAAAAAGAAAATACAATTTCGAAAATTATATGCGACTTTGAAATCAGAACAATCTAGTTATTCAACGTTTATTCTGACTGGAAAATTGCACGAGAAATGGATCGGAAAAAAGAAACGCATCTCCCACAAGTGAGAAACGAGGAAAAAATGTGCAAACTGAAATTAGAAAGTCGTAGGGTCCGCTTGTTTCAATGCAAAATTCATTGAAAAAAAAAACCTCGAGAACAAGTTCGAAAAATTCTTCGCACTCAAATTTGTCGCAACTCAGGAATTTATTGACCAGAAAAAAGTCTCATTTTTTGTCAATACATTTTTTCGTATTGAAACAATTCATCATAACTACGAGGTAATCGCATTTTTGTTTTCATTTGAGGTACCCTTCCAGAATTTTCTCTTTTTTTTGTTTTGTCCAAGTTTTAGAAGTCTGACTTTAAGTTTTCAACCCAGCACTGAGAGCCTCTAAATAGCCATAGTCGAGTGCTTTTACGTCTCGTCTTCTAGTTGCCTAAGCCAAAGCACATAGGGAATAATCCGTCATCTTTCGTAGGATCCGACCCAAAAAACATCGGGATCATCAAGCTAAAAACGGCAGCAACCATAGACAATACGAATGTCAAAACAATCAGTTTGTCAACATCAACTTCTTTCAGCACTGGCACAGTTGTCAGCGTTTCTGGATGGGGGACAGACACGAGCATCGGCTGTTAGTTGAAAAAAAAAAGAAACAATTATAATTTAAAATTCGATTCAAGCAATAATACTGTACAACCAAAATGAAATGTGTTGCTTCCAACAAAGTATTCAGAACGCTGAAAAAGTTTATCTAGGTTGTACCAAACCAGTAAAACTTTAAAAAGTTCACGACAACTGTTTTGGCACAACCCAGATAAAGTTTTTCAGCGTTCTGAATAAAAACAACCCTCGTCCACTTCGAACAGTTACAAAAATATGTTCATTAATAAAAATCAAAATAAACAAAAATATTCTTGTTTCTCATGTACCCATCATTTCGGATTCATTCTTGCATGAAATTATTCGAGGCATAATTGTAAATAAGAACGATTTTGACCGCTGAGTGATCATGAACAGTTAGCTTCACTTTTTCCGGGCGTCGGAAATTTGCACGGAAAGTTCTAACGTATCGAAAAAAAAATTATTTGGCGTTAACATCAAGATTCCTTCGTTTAATGTCAATTTATCAGCTAAGAACATTCTAAATATCGTGAGTCTTCCTGGAAAGAAGCTCAAAAATCGAAAAAAAATAATGTAACAGTACTCATATTTTCCTCACATATTAACAAGACAATATTTTCCAAATAAGGCACGAATTTCGTAATATTTTCCATACGCGTCCCATTCAAGTTTCAGACCAGAAAATGTCTCTTTTCTTTGCCCTAGATACCAAAGAGTTCTTGTTTGTCCAAATCCTACCACGATCTCTTTTGTCTCTTTTTCCTACTTATTTTGACAACATTAACAGTTTGCAGAAACTGTAGTGTATACTGTATTCAAGTTTTTTTGGGTTTAGTCTGGTAGCAACAGAAGATATGCGCATCAGGGATTCGTCTGATTTTATTCGCAGCAAATGACGCTTTACTAACTGGAAACATGGACGCGTCGAACGTCGCGAACTGTGACTTGAGCACAGAAACGCAGGCCACGAGGATTTGTCTGAAACCGTCAAGCAGTGCCACGCNCAAAACAGGTTCAAAATCTTCAGACTGAAATTCAAAAGTTGGGTCGTGACTCTCGGAGATTTATCGGTATCAGCTCACGAAAATGCAGAGCAGAAGATCAACGGATTCGGTTTCGTGTATCCCTTATATCCGTCATCTTTCGTAGGATCCGACCCAAAAAACATCGGGATCATCAAGCTAAAAACGGCAGCAACCATAGACAATACGAATGTCAAAACAATCAGTTTGTCAACATCAACTTCTTTCAGCACTGGCACAGTTGTCAGCGTTTCTGGATGGGGGACAGACACGAGCATCGGCTGTTAGTTGAAAAAAAAAAGAAACAATTATAATTTAAAATTCGATTCAAGCAATAATACTGTACAACCAAAATGAAATGTGTACGAAGGTTGTTTCATAAGTCTTGCGACTTTTTCAAATAGATCCAACATGGTTTGGTCATTTTGAAATTTTTCAAGTGCTGTTGACAAAACCGTGTTGGGTCTATTTCAAAAAGTCGCAAGACTTATGAAACAACCCTCGTCCACTTCGAACAGTTACAAAAATATGTTCATTAATAAAAATCAAAATAAACAAAAATATTCTTGTTTCTCATGTACCCATCATTTCGGGTTCATTCTTGCATGAAATTATTCGAGGCATAATTGTAAATAAGAACGATTTTGACCACTGAGTGATCATGAACAGTTAGCTTCACTTTTTCCGGGCGTCGGAAATTTTCACGGAAAGTTCTAACGAATCGAAAATAAAATTATTTGGCGTTAACATCAAGATTCCTTCGTTTAATGTCAATTTATCAGCTGAGAACATTTTAAATATCGTGAGTCTTCCTGGAAAGAAGCTCAAAAATCGAAAAAAAAAATAATGTAACAGTACTCATATTTTCCTCACATATTAACAAGACAATATTTTCCAAATAAGCCACGAATTTCGTAATATTTTCCATACGCGTCCCATTCAAGTTTCAGACCAGAAAATGTCTCTTTTCTTTGCCCTAGATACCAAAGAGTTCTTGTTTGTCAAAATCCTACCACGATCTCTTTTGTCTCTTTTTCCTACTTATTTTGACAACATTAACAGTTTGCAGAAACTGTAGTGTATACTGTATTCAAGTTTTTTTGGGTTTAGTCTGGTAGCAACAGAAGATATGCGCATCAGGGATTCGTCTGATTTTATTCGCAGCAAATGACGCTTTACTAACTGGAAACATGGACGCGTCGAACGTCGCGAACTGTGACTTGAGCACAGAAACGCAGGCCACGAGGATTTGTCTGAAACCGTCAAGCAGTGCCACGCAACAGACAGCTTGCTTCGTGAGTAAAATAGAAAAGCAATTCACAATACTCCGTTATTCATTGTTTTTAATTTAAAATGTTCAGAGATATGTTATCCTTCACTAGAAAAAAATAAAGAAATGAAGTCCGGCAGGTCTCGCGTAAATCAACATCGAGCTTTTATACGAAGTGATGTAACACGATTCGAGCGACACCTACGTGACACGGAAGCCTGACTGCATGATTCAAGTGAAGCGCATGTAACTTCACCGTCACTTAGATGTCGCGTGAATCAGGCGTCCAGATTCACAAAAATCATGGGACATCACTGATTCGTTTCTTCACTCACTCGTATAAGTGGCACGACCTTTATTGTCAAAATTCGATCCAAGAAGCATGTAGCATAATTGATCGGTCAACTAGTCAGACTAAACCCAGCTTAACCTTTGAGCAGAAGTAACGTTGTAAAAGGCGACATCTATGATGGAAACACAATCAGGAAGAATAAATGCAACATTTTCAAAATATTGCACAGGCACGTTCTCCTTACAGAACTCACAAAAAATTATTCTAAGAATATTCTGTATTTTCAACTAATACGAGCTGGGTGAAAATTAACTATACTGTACCTTATTTTTGTCAGAGCTGTCATGTCATCTCTTGTTTTCTTTTTCTTTACAATAAACAGAACATAACTGAAGTTAATAGTTTTAAAGGGGGAGTTTATTTCTAGCACAGCATCAAGAAATGCCTTTGTAATCTTCAATTTTAAATTTCAAAAGCTTCCATCACAAAAAACTATTGAATAAAAAATAATAATAAATTACATAATAATAATTCAACTCGATTTAACCCATGATTGTTAGCTTGTTACAATGCCTGCCTGACCCGGATCTTTCACAAGGTAAATTGAAACTCAAACTTATTTCAATTAAACAAATGAATATAAAAAAATTGAATGGCCTTCAATTTCAACAGGGAGATTTAGGTGGACCAGTTGTTAGCAACGGTGAGCTGATTGCGGTCATTTCCTATGTGCCCGGACTCCTCACTTGTCAAAGTTCCGATTATGCCGTTGGAACTCTGGTTGGGGCATACACAAAGTGGATCAAAAAATTTACTACATTCAATTGATTTTATTCATCAATGCGTTCGCGGCTGTTTGTCTGTAAATATAATTTATCAATTCGTTCCGCGAAAATTTGTGCGTTGAGATCATTCATTTATTCGTTTGCTGTTATTTGTTCGTTGAGATTGAAACTATTCGTGGAAATTTTCCTTTTTATTTTACTTCATTTTAATAGAAGTCCTCCAATTAACATCAGCAAAAAATCTACGCAGTCGGTAATTTTGGAAAGAGCTTCTTTGATTTCTTTTTTCACTTACACTTCAGAACATAAGCTTGCCTCAGATTTCTTTTCATTCTATTCAGCACAAATAATTTAATAGACTACGGTATTTCGGTATGAATTCGACGACATCAGAATTTTGATAATGTTTCTTTTTTCACTTACACTTCAGAACATAAGCTTGCCTCAGATTTCTTTTCATTCTATTCAGCACAAATAATTTAATAGACTACGGTATTTCGGTATGAATTCGACGACATCAGAATTTTGATAATGTAATATTTTTTTTAAAAGGAGAATTTCAGCGTAAAGTTGAACCACCGTAGAAAAAAAAAAGGAAAAACTACGTAAAACGTTTCGCTCTTGTTTTTTTCCAGAACACGCTTCGACAACCCCGAAGCCAGGGGGACTAAAGCCGCCATTTCTTAAAGACAGTGCGCTGGAAAGTTTTGTAAACAGTGCAGCATTACGTGCGTGTGAAATTGATATGGTGTTTAAAACTTGGATTTCATTCGCGTTTATAGTTTCTGGTTCTTTCACAAACGCAGCAAATACGACACAAGGTGAATGAAGTTTTTATCGTCCATTGCGGGTTCTGAGGAGTCTCCGATTTAAAAAAATAAATAATCGACCAGCTGAATGAAAAAATACTTCATTGCATGTATTCAAACTACATCTGCGATCAACGTAAACTTGAATTTGGATTTTAAGCAATTACTTCCAGTCTTCAACCGAGTAAATTATTTTTGATTTCACAAACGTCAGCCAAATTATTAAAATTTTCGAATTTCAACTTTCGTTTTGTATTGCAATAAATAAAATTAGTTTGTTAATTTTTAGAGTCATAAAGTTGATTGTAGCTCCCGAAAACAGAGTTAATTAAGAACTTTCATCGAGCACATTTGTTTTGGTTTTCTCCAAATTATAGCCACGTTGATTAAATTCAAAATCCCGTTTTTCGTCCTTTCATTGCAATAAATTAATAAATGTTTCTTAATTGTTGGAAAAAGAATCCATCGTTGTAAAAAAAAAGCTAACGGGACTCATGCTCGAAGATTACGCTGATTTGTAAAATAAAGACGCCGAAATTATAAAAAATGCCAAAATTATGACAAATTGCGTTTCTACGAAAAGAAGACCGAGTTTTTAAATGGTGGAAATGAAAGCTTAATTTTCAGTTGCTGATTTTTCTTCCAACAGTATTCGTAAGACGCTGAATTTAATCCTTTCTCTCATGACCTCAGTTTTCAAAATACTGTGATTACATAACATGTCAGTATTGTATCGTACTTCAAAAACATTTTGATCACGTTTCGTCGTACTCGTTATCGGGAAATAACACCAACCCTCAAAAATGAGCCCTCGTAAAAATTATAAAATTTAGTGTAAAAAAAAAGCAAGGATGTGACATTGAGAAATTTTCCTTCCCCCCTACTCATGGTCCTTTATTACTGTAAGTTGGTCGTTAACACAGACCTTGACTTCGTTGCAGGTCTTGTTTGAATCTTATAGAACGAGCCCAACTGCGTTTTGATAAGCCTTAGCACTGTTGAACGTGTCCCTGAAAAATCACAACCCGAGTCGTCCTCACGGCTGGACACTGCGTCAAGAAAAGTTTGTGAGTTGCATCTTGAAGAACTTGGCAAGGAATATTATTTTCAATACGTGACACGTGATCGAGGTTCGTCCTGTCCTTCAAATTATAAGAAAAAAATTGCATCCCGTGACACATTCTGTAAAATGAAAATTTAGACAAAAGCTAGGTTGTGACGCTGGGAGAAGCAAGTCAAGATGAAAGTTGAGAAATGCGGAACGAATAAAAATACAGTACTGTAATACAGTTGAACCTCAATAATTCGAACCTTCTCGAGTCAAATACTGTACCTCCCTAATTTTTTTTCAGGTCCGTGTCTGTATCCCCTTCGAAATAATGCATTTAACACCTCTTCGACTCAAAGGATTTCCTCCTCAAACCTTAAGGACTGGAAGCCTTTTGCTATTTTCTTGACACAAAAAATATGAAAGGAATAAAAATTTAAATTTATGTGCTTTGAAAGGAATATAAAGACTAAATTTGGCAAACGATCCCTTCCATATTCAGTATTCTGTCAACTCATTTAAGAAGGAATTTAGGACCCAGAATATCAGCAATTGAAATTTTCTTGCAATGCTTTCCTTCCCGAACACAAATGCATGCTTCTTCATCTAGAATTTATTTGTTAATCTTTTGAAGTTCAACTTCGAGGTTGGACTGGACAAAATTAAATAAACCATCATTCACAGCGGCGGGATTCGAACGCGATTATTTTCAAAACGAGGGGTAAAAACATGTTTTTTAATAATCTTCACTTTTGGAAACAGGATAAAGATTTTCAGAATAAAATACAAGAGCTGGGTCGTGACTCTCGGGGACTTGACAGCGTCCAAACCTGAAGACAATGAACAACGAATTGACGGAGTCGGGTACTCGAACCCATTTTACCCATCAGTGTACTCTGGATCCGACCCCAAGGACATCGGACTAGTAAAACTGAAAGTGGGAGCAGTGACAGATAATACCAATGTTAAAACCATCGGTTTGAGGTCACGCTGAAGTAAGGGCAGTCCTTGGCACCAAAGTCAAAGGCCTACCCCTCAATAACTAAGTTTGCGTCCTCCATTCAAACTTAATCATCATCTGAGTTAATATGCGGCCTTATGGACACGAAGAAACCCCCGGACAAGTTTAAATTCACGACAAGTACGCAAAAATTTGCTGTTTACAGCATTATCCACCGACACTTTGCATTATGGTACCATGGAAGTGACCAATGTTGCCTATTGTGGAATGACTGTGGAGAAAACAACCAGACGACTTTGCTTGACGCCCTCCCGTACCACAACCAAGCAATCTGCGTGCTTTGTAAGTAACAAACAAAATATTTAAATGCTTTTTTGAACCACAATTCAAATGAAAAAAGTAACCAGGTGAATAAATACGGTGCTCAATAGCACCAGTTCCACAAGTAGCAGAGTGGTGCAGTGGAAGCGTGCTGAGCCCATAACTCAGAGGTCCATGTATTGAAACCACGCTCTGCTAGAATTTTTTTCCCCGTCCAAAACAAGTCATTAATTAGACGCATCGGACCCAATGGATTTTAATTCATGTCTTATTGATTTTTAACCTCATTTTATTACACAGGGAGATTTGGGTGGACCTGTGGTATACAATAACCAACTAATAGCGATCATGACTTACATACCAGGAACCATATCCTGTCAAGCCACAGATTACACAATTGGAGTTCTCATCGGCCCGCAATCGGATTGGATCAAGAAGTTTACGTGAAGACATTCTCTCAATTAAAAATCCCGAATACCTCCCCAGAAATTGAATTAAGACTTATTGCACCCTTTGTAAATGAGACTTGATGAAACACTGAAATGTTTTCAGAACGGATTCATGATTCTTCCACCGATGCCGCAAGTGTGATAACAGATAACCACTCCCAAATTGATACTCATTTCCTAAAAAATTGAAATCGCGGAGTCAAAAAAAAAGACGAGAAACTGGGTTTTTACTACTGTATTCGCTATCGCAATGTTAAAGAAAATCATTCACTCACGCTAAGTCCAAGCCGATCATTTTGTCTCTATTGCGGACAAAATCCGCGACAATTCCATCGTATGATGCGCCAAGTTACGTGAAAGATCAGCACCACCGACAGTAGCCAACGTCGACACCAACTCCGCATGTTTGTTCCCCCATTCTGAGTAGCTTTTAAGCTGAGATGTACTCATGATTCTATCCTGAAGAATGCCAGCCATCAACACCACACCGGGTGTTCGACGCAACGCCTTGAAAATGGCTTTCACAGATTTCGGATCACTTTTCTCCATTCCGAACCCTATTAACTGATGACCAGTGAAGATGGGTAGAATGTTGGAGTATTTTGTTCCGTCCAGAGCAATCTGCAAAATTTTTTTCCCTATGGCTTCCACCTTGATTCCACATTTGTGCAAGGCGAGGGACGCATCGAAGTAATCCCAGCCCTCCATCTTGTTTCGATGAAATATCAGGGTCAGTTGTGAACTCTAAGAGAATAATTAGGACTTACTATAGCCACAGTTACGAGGAATTGTTACATATGCGTCGGGAGAAAAGCATTCAGTACGAAAAAGAACCAGGGGAAAATAACCCACAGAACTGATGCTTTACTGAATCAAAATTTTCCGAGACTCTTGAAATGTTTTCTTTGCTTCACTACGAGTAGCGTCCTCTTCTTAAAAAAGAAAGGAGAAATTTCGAACGCACAAAATTGTTTTCCATCGATCATTGGATGCCTTTCTCACGTCACCGAAGAAAGAATTTTCGTGAATTACCTGAAACTTCATGAGGGCTTCTCGCGCAAGCAGGGTTTCATATTTAGTCACGTTCGTTTCCACTGCGGCAGTCACACTTTGGTAGTGCGCATTCAATTCACAGGTTTCATTCGGGGGTAACAATTTCACGAAATCGACATACTTTGGCTGCACTATATGTTCAACTAGAGCCCGGTAAGTATGAGATGGGCGGGGTTTTGTGATCCGCGGCTTCCGACCGAACCGACCGTAATTTCGCACTTGAACGGAGACCGTGGACAACGGACGCAAGAGCCACGAAGACATTTTCTAATTGAAAAATATCAGGGATAAATTTTCACGCAAGAAAACGAAACAGAGCAGGCAGGTTCGTCTGGGAGAAACATTTTCCATAATTCGCGGCTTTACTTGAAAGCAAAGGTTCAAGTATCAAGTTTTCCACTGCGTGCAAGATCATGGAAAGGAAACCCCCAGATGAACGTACCACTACTTCAAAACACAATAAAGGCTGGTAAATTTTAATTTTCCCATCCGAACACAAGGATTATTCAAGGTGAATCAGAAAAGGCTCAAGGATTATCAACACGAAATCAAAAATCATCATCGTCAGAATCAAGAGCAGCTCGACGCCGATCAAACTTCGCTGTAGTTGTGACTTTGGATTTCTTGCTCACTTGTTCCAAAAGCCCGATTAGCTCCTGCTCGGACATTTTGCCCCTAAGCTGACCAGATGTAGCCATCCGAAGAATTAGATTTTCTTCAGCAGAATCAGAAATAACAGTGCCAGTGTCAATTCACATCTTAATTCAAATGCGCAGTTGGATTTGTACCTGCATAGAGAATAAAATCAGACTGGTGGTAAGGCTGACAATAGCGTACCTCACCGGCAGCACAGCAGAGCTGTTGGAGAATTGGAGTGTACAAGGGCTAGGTGCGGGTGAAAGGGAGTACACACTGTTTATTGTAGATGGAGCTAGTAGTCTGGGTCCCCCCAACTAGGATAGCTCCCATGCCTTTAATCTGGCTGTTTTCTTCTTACTTCTTGCATACGTCAGAATCTTTTTAGCTTCCACCTTCGCGAATCAGTTGATCCTCCGAAGTTTTCATTCATTCACCACTTCCTCCACTCAGTAAGGGATCCCTACCAGGACCCTTAGAGCGACATCTAGCAAGATCCAGACCGACCGATTACATCACCCACCCGATCGTTGCTCAGGAGAAGATGGCTATCACGATTGGAGGAGATGCGACGGAGACCGAAGAAATATTCCTCACTTGAGTTCTGACTTCTGACCTGACTAGAGATATTTTTATGAGTGACTGTTATTGTGTTTGTGTTGTCGTGTTGTCTCGATTAACGGAGTTGGAGTTATATAAATCCTCCGGTTTCTGCTGCGCTGGACGAAGACTCATTCATTCAACCTTATTGGGGGTTCGTCCGGTTCAATAGCCCCGATCGTCCTAGCGCTAGCAGCGAGATGACGCGAAACACCGAGAATTCGAAAGCCGCGGCACAGCCCTATGTGCCCCCTGCCCCAGTTCCGGACCCAGCTGCAGCACCAGCGGGACCATCCACAGAGCAGGCGTCTCCGGCATCAACCCCATCTCCGCGGAGTCCTTCCATTCCGGCCCTTCCCACAACGCCGTCCCCGGCACCGTGCGGGCAATGGGAGACTGTCCCGCTACCGACGCTGCAGTACCTCGTCGAGGCATACCGCTTGGGCACGCCATCGTCACCTCATCGTGAGAGCTACGTTTCTTTGCTTATCTCCAACAAGGTCCCGGCATCAATCGCCCAGGGATGGATCCCGCCTCCTGGTTGGCACCTCCGCCCGCTCGATCTGCAGATCCAACCTTGGGCTCCACCGGCCACGTCGCAGGAGATCGTCATCGTCGCTCCCACGCCAGTGCCACCCGCGTACCTCCCACCACAGCAGCGCCATCCTGGGGAACCCCAACTTTCGGATCTACCACGCCAGCGTGAGACCGAATCTTTCGAGGATTACGCCGACCATTTGCGCCGCATGCCAGCCATCAACAATGTCTCGGCGGACATGAAAGTCTGGTGCCTCCTGAACAAAACTCACGCACTTGTTCGGGAGACCGCGTCCATTTTGTACGGCCGAGGCATCGTCGAGTTCGAGGAGCTCGTTACCGCTATCGCCGTATCTCATCCGACGCCGCATCTTGACCGGCTGGACCGGTTTCGTCAGTTACGTCCGCAGACCGGAGAAAGCTTTGTCAGCTTCAGCGGGAGGTTAGAACATTTATTTAATTCTTTCCTCAACCCGCCGGGGCAACCGGTCACCCTGGAACTGGTTCGCCACAAAATCCTCATCGAGCAACTCATCAACGCCGCGCCAACCGGTCTACAGGACGAGCTTCGCCGGAAATGGATCGACAACCGCAACTGGTCTTGGCCAGAGGCAGTCGCCGAAGCCGAACGGTACCGTCTACATCATCACGCCACATCGCGCAGCGGGACCGGTTCCAAGACAGCTTCCAAGACCTCATCCGGCAACCGGCCTCAACGACAGTGGTGCGAGGGGCACCGGGCTCATGTCCGCCATTCGCCTCAAGACTGCCGCATCCTCCTGCGTCAGCAAGGCAGAGCTCCTGCTACGTCCTCCGAACCTGCGACGGCCACGGCACCGACAGCGGCACCCGCCGTCCCAGGTTGACCAGCTCCACCGCAGCAGCAGCAGCCGGGAACAAACGGCAACACATTCTACTGCTACCACTGCCACGAACCGGGTCACATAGGCCGCAACTGCCCCCTCTCGCTCCAGGGAAACGCTCGCCCATCACAGTGAACGCGGCGCACTGTGTGGACATGGACTCCGCCGCACCCCCTCCAATCGTTCTGCCTCTTCAGATCGGGGACGTCACCATTCCGGCACTGGTCGACACCGGTGCCTCCCACGCCTTCGTCTCTCAACAGTTAGTAGACTCCCTTAACCTTTCCCCTCGTCCTTGCTCGATACACGTCCTCACCGCTCTGACAACAGATACCGCGAAGGTGGCACAGCAGGTAATCATCGAGTTTAGTTTTCGCGGATTACAATACGCTATTCCCTTCTTAATTCTTCCGCATCTTGCAGACCCTCCGATGCTTCTCGGACGGACCGCGCTTCGACACTTCCCGCTGTCCTTAACGATCGACGGAGAACGCGCGTTCGTGGGTTTCCAGCGAACAATCCAGAATCGGGCCGCCCCGACGCTAACCGCAGGGGAGGGCATTCTTTTTCAGGACGGCAACCCCCAGGAGCGCAATGCCATCCGAGAGCTGCTTCTCGGTCACCGCGACACGTTTCATCAATGGTCGGGCCGCCGCGGATTTCTCCCCGAGCACACTGTCGCGCTTCAGACTTCCGGAACCGAAATTCCCAATACGCGCTCCTTCCGCCAATCGGTTGAACTCAACGCTTTATTTTCCAAATTGGTCGACGAATATGTGGAGGCTGGAATTATTGAACCGGCGTACTCGCCTTATAACTCCCCAGCCTTCCTAACGCGAAAGAAAACCTAGGATCCCAACGCGCCACCCCATCGGCACTGGCGCTTGGTCGAGAATTACCAGGGCATCAATAACATCCTGGCCGACGATCGTTACCCGATGCCGGTGATCCAGGATCTTCTTGACGCCCTTGGCCAAAGTAACGCATACTTTTGTACCCTCGATTTGCATGCTGCCTTCCATCATTTGCCTATTTTGCATGCAGATCGGCCTAAGACCGCATTCTGGACCCCGCGCGGGCAGATGCAATACCGCGTCATGCCTTTTGGCCTAAAGAACGGGCCCGCCGCATTCCAGCGCGCTGTTAACCACATTCCGCGCGATCATCTGTATACGCGATGTCTGGTTTACATGGATGACATAATTGTTTTCGGCGAATCTTTCGATCAAGTGTACAAAAATTTAGATTTGGTCCTCACAGCTTTGGGGAATGCGGGAGCGTCCGTCGACTTGGCCAAGTCTACCTTCCTGGCCAAGAAAATCATCTTCCTTGGGCACGAAATTGATCAAACGGGGACAAGACCCTTGGACAAGGACCTGGATGCAGTCCGCCGCTTCCCACAACCAGCCACCACGAGGCAGATGCAGCGGTTTTTGGGCATGGCGACGTACCTCTGTGCCCATTTACCTACCAATTTTGCCGCCTCTGAGAAGATCCTCCGCCAGACCATCCCGGCGAAACCGCTGAACAAGCTCACGTGGACCCCCGAAGCACTTGCCGCTTTTAATCATCTTAAAGACATTCTTGCAGAGTCAGCCCACCTGGAACGCATGGACCCATCCCGCCTGACGGAGGTCCACTGCGATGCATCCCAGACGTCGCTGGGAGCGATCCTGGTGCAGATCGACGAAGACGGAAGCCCCCGCGTCGTCGAATACGCCAGCCGCACATTAAACGATACGGAGTCGCGGTACACTAATTCCGAGAGGGAACTACTCGCCATCGTCTGGGCCGTCACCAAAAAGTTTCGGCATTACCTAGAGCTGCGCGACTTTACCGTCTACACCGACCACAAGGCTTTGCTCGGCGAACTGAAGACCACCCGCCTAATCTATTTACACACCAAACTTGCTCCTTTTAGGGCCAAGATCGTGTATAAACCGGGACGTTTTCTGAAGGGGCCGGACGCCCTCAGCCGAGTAACCCTGAACGCGGCCGAAGTTCGAGAGATCCCCGACAAAGCAGAGCGCCTCAAAATCATCGACCACTATCATGAAGAGCTCGGGCACGCGGGCTGGAAGAAAATCTACCAGACCCTGCGAACCCGCTACAAGTGGCCTTCGCTACGGCAAGACGTGTGGAAGAGGATCCAGTGCTGTCAGGTATGCTTCAGATACAACATCCGAACAACACCGGTGGGCACCCACCTGGAGCCGATCGAGTCCACTAAGCCACGAGAACGTCTCACCGTCGACTTTTACGGTCCGCTCCCCCTGTCCAAGGAGGGCAACCGATATGCAATAGTCGCCGTCGACCATTATAGCAAGTATATGCTGGTTAAACCGATCCCTCAGGCTGACGCACCCTCAGTCATTCCGTTTTTAGCAGAGATTTTTCGTCAATTTGGGGTATGCGATTGCATCCATACGGATTGTGATTCTGTTTTTCGCTCAAAGGCATTCAAGTGGTTTCTTCGCGACGCCGGTGTGAAACAGCACGTAGCTCAAGCGTCTCACGCCGAAGGAAACGGCTGTTGCGAGCGCGCGATTCGCACGCTGGGGACGATACAATCCAAGCATGTCGACGGGGACAGCTCGCAATGGGACCGATTTATTTTTCAGTCCGCGCTCGCCTACAACAATACAATCCATTCGTCCATTGGGGTAACGCCTACAGAGGCCTTCTTTCAGAGACCGGCCCTCTTGGAATCAGATCGCGAATTCGGGGTACTTCCACCTGCAATTGATGCTGAGCTCTCGCAAATTCCGACGGTGAACGCCAAGGCCCGCGAGGAATTCTGTCGCATCGCCAACCAAAAAAAGTGGCCCCAGTTTCGTCCCGGGGATTTAGTGGCCATACGTCCGCGATTGCCCACGGTTAAACAACACGCGGCGGATCGGCGATTCCGTGTACAGCAACTGGGCCCATTTATTGTCATCCGATACTTGGGCCAGGGGGAGTATCATGTGGGCGCAGATAAGGTAATTTGTCGCGCAAATGCTTGGGAGATGGTTCCTGCCCGCGGCTTGCCCAGACAACCCGACCCGATTTGGGCCCAATCTCTCTCTCCTCTGTTTCATCCGACAGGGACAGATCCTTATACCGATTCCGACATCGCGTTCGCTGACCCTTCCGCGGGCTTTTCTTCTCAAACTATCTCTAGAGATCATGATTATCTGCTGCGGCCACCAACGCCGTCCTCGGTCATTCGCCCAGACCATACCTATTCTTCATAGAAAAACGTAGCCTCCCTTCCCCTCCGGCCGTTTTTCTCCGGGGGGGGGGGGAGTAAGGGATCCCTACCAGGACCCTTAGAGCGACATCTAGCAAGATCCAGACCGACCGATTACATCACCCACCCGATCGTTGCTCAGGAGAAGATGGCTACCACGATTGGAGGAGATGTGACGGAGACCGAAGAAATATTCCTCACTTGAGTTCTGACTTCTGACCTGACAAGAGATATAGTGAGAGTCAACAACATCCGTATCTGTAATCTCTCATCTCCAGCACACAAGAAACATGAGTCACAAAACAACAGTCCAGTCACCAGTGGTGATCAAACTTCACTGTAGTTGTGACTTTGGATTTCTCGCTCACTTGTTCCAAAAGCCCGATTAGCTCCTGCTCGGACATTTTGCCCCTAAGCTGACCAGATGTAGCCATCCGAAGAATTAGATTTTCGATCATCTGCCCTTTCTCGGGTTTGGCCAGAGCAAGTGTGTTCAACCGCGCGCGTGCAGCCTGATCGAGAGCTTGCGATAAAATTGAATTCTTGGCCATTTCTTGCTCTTGTTGGCGGCGTTCGGCTTCTTCACCATCCCTTTCTGAGCCGCCGCCACCACGACCACCACCACCGCCGCCGGCCTTCGCTTGGAGCGTGGCCATTCGTTGAGCACGTATTCTGGCCAATTCGGGATCGTCCATAACTTACGGATAGCACGCGCACGAAATAATCTGATAATATCAGGAGAAAAGTCTTTATTTCAGTTGTTCCGACGCAGAAAAATGAGGGATGAATGCACGAGAGACCACCGGTCTCTGCACCGGTCTTACATTATCACTTTTCAGCAGCAAAATGCGTCAACAGTACTCCACTTTCATCACTCATGAATGCAGAAAAAGACTAATTCCACCTCAAAACACAGCTTTCAGAAACTTCATCAACAGTATGTAAAAATGCAGCACTGTTGTTCAATGGGTGACCGATTTCCGCGACGGCAAGCTCAATAATGAAACATCTCTCCGAAGCAAAGGGATGCGTTGGTTCCAACACATGCCTTTAATCTTGCTGTTTCTTCTTACTTTTTGCATACATCAAATCTTTTTAGCTTTCACCTTCGCGAACCAGTTGATCCTCCGAAATTTTCAATCATTCACCACTTCCATGGCTCAGGGAGGAACTTTAAGATCAGGTCGAACGGGTATATAACATGGGTGCTCAAACAATAGGCGTTGGGTTCAATTCTTCCTCTCATCAGCATCACATGCCGACATGCGCTCTATTCTTGTCGTCGAATCATAACTTGCCATTTTTGAAATTCCACATGACAATTTGCTTGCTGTCACCTAGGGCCTAGGATTTATTCGATCCAAGTCCAGAGTTCCAGACTCAACCCAAGCATCTAAACACCGAAGACATTTCTTATATCCGTCGGATGCAGTTAGACTGACATGTTTACAGCAGCGGAAGTTACTTCAAATTTACCAATAAGAACTGTTCTAGGCGAAAATTCATTAAAAAAATTATCTGTACAAAATTAGTTTTATTAATACTGTACATTAAAATGGCAAAAATAAGGTTGTATGTAAATTATTTTGATTTGTCACACCATCTTATTGACCGTATTAACCTCTACGAGTACTGTACTGTAATTGATGTCATGTGATAGTCAACAATCCAAAGACAAAAATTGGAGCTATTTCGTGGATTTTTGTAAGTTCATGAATCAACATAATTCACAGTAAAGGGATAATTTAAGCGCCGAGCGTCCCAAGAAATATTCGACAATGAATAAAAATGCCCAAATATCGCTTCAACAAATAATCCATACAAAATGGAATACAGTGCATAGAGCTGTTCCACAACTCAGAATTGGATCCATTGAGAATAGAAGGGTCTAGCGAGTTGAAGATGTTGACAGCTTCATGTATTTCAGGAAAATTGTGCTCACATGCTAGAAGAAAAATTAAAGGTACTCATCAGGATTTCAAATTTATTCGCATCCGACAACCATCGCCGTTTTTGTAAAACGAAAGCGATACAAACAAAGAACATTTGGAAAGAACCAACCCTTCAAAAGTGTCTCCCCCCGTTTCCCAAGGAATAATCGCAACTATACATGTGCAGGCGGGTGGGCAATATCACCGCGTATTCAGTATTCACGATCATGGCACTGCTCAAAAAAACCAAAAGGCAAAGCTTCATTCAATTCACACCCTTTTGTAAGCACCGCACCAATAGAATAAAATCTCTTAGCGCAAAAAAGATGGAAACTAAGGCAGCTGAAATTTCTAGATTCGCAAAATTTAACACTATCACAAATTGAGATTCGGATAATTCAAACAAGAAAAACAAATTTTTGGAACCAAGTTTCGAAAATTTAGCAAATGTCATCTGAACAGGAAAGTTGCGGAAACGCGAAGACAGGTCCCTTCTACACAAAGACTAACAAATAATGATATTGCTACTCTATAACTATCGCGGAAATTATTGTCGGAATCGTGAGTGTGGCCCACTGGCGTTGTCAGCTTAGTTTCACGCCAGTGGGCGAACAGGAATTCTCAAGAAGGAAATTTAACGTAATGCGCGTAAGTGAGGTGATACTTGCGAAATTGGCAGCTCTGCAAATCTTTTCGCATGAATTTTCCAATACGTACAGCACCATCCAGTTCCTTGTGGCTTGACATCGCAACAGATCCCTGCAGAAAAAAAAAAAAAAAAAAAAAAAAAACTCGTGAATTCAATTTCTTTATTTGGCTTGACATCGCAACAGATCCCTGCAAAAAAAAAAAAAAAAAAAAAAAAAGAACTCGTGAATTCAATTTCTTAATCTCGTGCTCAAGGGGTAAAAGTTAAAGTTTTTCTTTCTCTTTCTGTTCTTACAAATTCTCAGAGAATTGAAAAAAGTCACTCGAAAACTTTCGTTCTCTTAACCCTGGTCAATTTTATTCAAACCTCTAGGCACACATCAGGCTCTGCAAACTTAAAAAGAGTAACTTGAACAGGAGTATCATATTTCTCTCAATTCTATAGACGTTGATACCTCATTGTACAGCGTTAATTGAAGGTCTTAACCGCCACACGTTGGAAAAGGAATGAAAAACGCATCTCTGACTTTCTTAGTCACGTCGGTGTCGCCTGAATCCGGATTTTTTGTCAATCGCTTTCATAAAAAATTTTTAAAAGCCTCGGAAACAAAAAGTCACCCGCATAACCAACAACAAAAAACACTGAACTAATAAAATCTGACGTATACAAATACAAGCCAAATTCATCAACTTGCAGCATTCGACTGAACGGAAAAACCAGCATTAGGCGACACCTAGGTGACAGCGAAGAAAATCCTTAGGTCTGTGACTTCGTGCGTCAGGGTGAGGGTATCAAAGTCGACGCCCAGTAGAATTAAAATTTCAACTCGGAACAGTGATCAATGATCACCGCACATGATTTTGTCAAATGATCAACATTTTTTCGAAGAAATTAGTGTGCCTGCATGCATCAAAGGGAAATTGATGTTCAAAAGATTACTATTAACTTATTTGTTACCTCAAAAAAAAAAACTCACTTGATTCGCAAAAACAGTCATGATGAACTTCCCAGGCTTGAAGATGTCCAAAATTTTTCCAAGCACTTCCTTATACGAAGCCATGGGAATGTTGCTCTCAAAGCTGACGTAAGAAAAATCCGGCTCCGGCGTCACGTGAATCGTCATGTAAGACCCCTGGATACAATAAATCTCGATAAAACCGGTTTTTAAAAATTCAATGAAAAAAAAAACGCAAAGCATGCAAGAAAACAAGCGGGCAAGGAAAAACTCCTCAAATCATAGGCAAGCGAAACGAACCATATAAACTCACATTGCTCGCATCAGGAGACTGCGAAAGACAGTTGATGGACAAGATCAATTAGTCATCACCGTCATCAACGAAATGAATTCAAATCACGTCCGACCATAAAATGTCTGCGACCGATCGTATACTGAACTTGTCGGCCAACGACGTCGTACGACAATTAACGAACAAAATCTCCGATGGTTACACGAGATTCACAACAATTATTGTCTTGAACTAATAAGTATTTAATTCCTACAACACAGCTGGTGGTTCGAAAAAAGCGCACCATTAAATACGAGGGTTGGTTCGAAAGTAGTTTTACTACCATAAAATCAAGTTGTTTACCTCACTAAATATTCTTTGGTAAAATACTCAGAATGTTGGTAACTAGGATAAATAACTATTTTGTATTACAGTATCAAGTTGGGGTTTATTTTCCAAAAAATTGCTCTCAACTGCAGACATGCTGATGACCAGGAACAATTTACGCAAAAAAACACATTTTATGCAACTTTCGCACAGAAAATGAAATAATTGTGAAAGCTAAAACATTTTCATTACTGAATGGTTGTCATGATCTGGAATATCATCGTTCAGACGGTTTTACAAGTACTATATATGAAACATGTTATAGAATTTCATGGCCTAAGAACTTCCGTTTATCCATTTCAACCTCGGTAAGAAAAATTTGAACCATTGAGCTTTAAAAAAAAAATTCAACCGATCAAGACATCAACAAAAGAAGCACGGGACTAACCAAACTTATGAACCAACACGGGAGGATTTTAAAACTCGGAGAAACCTATTTCTTCTTTTTTAAAAACACTAAACTTCCTGTAATGCTTCCAGATTTGAAAGCATTCACACACGCCAAGCGTGAATTCATTTCCAAAAATCAAACGAGCTGTTCTTGAGAAAAAAAAAATCCAAGAAATTGTGGAAGTTTGTTTCGTAAATTCATCTAGAATTATAAATCCCGGAACCTCTCACAAATTCTAAAAATGAAGAAGTAAAGCACAATTTGAAGCTCACCTTTTTCATTATGCCGTTCATGGAATATCCACACGGATCGAAAAGGAAGTCATCGATTTGGACATCAGGAATCAACGTGGAAATTCCGGACTTCTACAAGTACAAGGAAACAAGAAAACTCGAGAATTATTGAGCCCTATCGAATAAAAGTAATAACATGTTTGCGTGGCTTCGGATCGGTATACATTAAAAAAAGAATAACTTGAATTCCAGGTATACAGTATTATATTTACCTGAGTCGCAACTGACATGCCTTAATTAGAGCGAAACTTTCAGAAGGGTCATCAGCAGTTACTTTACGGAATGCATATACAGTACAGCAATACACGAAGTTTCCGGTTGGATACAAATCGAAAGTCACTGTGAAACATTCGTTACCAACTGAAATAAAACGGAAGCAGTGATCAATTAATTATGAAACAGAACACGGAATAAATCAAGTATTCCCGTTCTGTTTTTGTCCGATCAGAATATTGTTGGAGAACTACCGTCACTCATATCCTTGAATAAAACATAACGCCGAAGACATGTGAATTGGAATTTCATGAGCTTTGGCAGAAGAAAATTAATTCCCTGAATTTTTACAAGGCTCCTCCATTCGATTTCTAGGCTCAGCAGAACAAATCTTTTGCACAAATTAGGTTCTTGAAATATCTTCCAAACTTTTTAAGTGATACCTCATAACAATCGAAGTACTGTAGCTTTTGCAAGCTTTATGTTTGTCGTACGATTTGCCATTTTTACAAATCACATTTGAACAAGAACACATTTTCTCATTTGCATAAAGTAAAAAATTGGTTCTTTGTGCACGAATTGTGGTCACACTACAAGGTAAATACCAGACTGTACCTGCCTTCGTTAGGAAATATCCCTCGGAGAATCTATTCAACATCCCTCAAAAAATGTGTCACTGTAGAACTTATAAGTTTGTTTTAATGCGATTGTTTCTAGCATGTTCTGTTTGGGCTTTCTGCCGAGATTTTAGAAAAAATTTGCACATGAAAACATTTCCGCACTTATATAAAAAAAAAACATTTGTTCTTCGTACGAATTTGGTCATAGTACAATACAAGGGACATTCAGACAGAAAATGCTTCAGGAAATTTCCACGTGGAGAATCTACTGAACATTCCTGAAAAGAGTTGGAACACAGGAATTGGGGAGTTCGTTATACTGAGATCATTTCAACAAGCTCTCTGTGGGCTTTCTGCTGCAGCTTCAGAAAACGTTTGTAATACTGTAATGAAACATTTTTTGTGACGAGATTTCACTGTGTTCACCTCGGTAGCATCATGTGCAGACACGCTGTTGGCCCTGGTGAAAATTTTCATCACTTCCGGATCTAGAAGTAAAGCACAATTTGAAGCTCACCTTTTTCATTATGCCGTTCATGGAATATCCACACGGATCGAAAAGGAAGTCATCGATTTGGACATCAGGAATCAACGTGGAAATTCCGGACTTCTACAAGTACAAGGAAACAAGAAAACTCGAGAATTATTGAGCCCTATCGAATAAAAGTAATAACATGTTTGCGTGGCTTCGGATCGGTATACATTAAAAAAAGAATAACAGAAAACTTGAATTCCAGGTACAGTATACAGTATTATATTTACCTGAGTCGCAACTGACATGCCTTAATTAGAGCGAAACTTTCAGAAGGGTCATCAGCAGTTACTTTACGGAATGCATATACAGCAATACACGAAGTTTCCGGTTGGATACAAATCGAAAGTCACTGTGAAACATTCGTTACCAACTGAAATAAAACGGAAGCAGTGATCAATTAATTATGAAACAGAAAACGGAATAAATCAAGTATTCCCGTTCTGTTTCTGTCCGATCAGAATATTGTTGGAGAAATACCGTCACTCATATCCTTGAATAAAACATAACGCCGAAGACATGTGAATTGGAATTTCATGAGCTTTGGCAGAAGAAAATTAATTCCCTGAATTTTTACAAGGCTCCTTCATTCGATTTCTAGGCTCTCTTTTGCACAAATTTGGTCCTTGAAATATCTTCCGTAAACTCGAATTGATACCTCATAACAATCAAAGTAAAGTAGTTTTTGCAAGCTTTGTTTGTTGTACGATTTTTACAAATCACATTCGAACAAGAACACATTTTCTCATTTGCATATAGTACAAATTTGTTCTTTATGTACGAATTGTGGTCATACTACAAGGTAAATACCAGACTGTACCTGCCTTCGTTAGGAAATTTCCCTCGGAGAATCTATTCGACATCCCTCAAAAAATGTGTCACTCTAGAACTTTTAAGTTTGTTTTAACTTGTTTTTAGCATGTTCTCTTTGGGCTTTCTGCCGAGATTTTAGAAAAGATTTGCACATCAACACATTTTCGCACTTACAGTATATGAAAAAACACATTTGTTCTTCGTACGAATTTTGTTCATAGTACAATACAAGGGACATTTCAGACAGAAAAAGCTTCAGGAAATTTCTAACAGGAGAATCTACTGAACATTCCTGAAAAGAGTTCGTTACACAGGAATTGGGGAGTTCGTTATACTGAGATCATTTCAACAAGCTCTCTGTGGGCTTTCTGCTGCAAGAAGTCTTTTGCAAACATTATGACATTACTTTGTAAAAAACACTGCTCTAAAGTGACACAAGTGGAGCCATCGTAGTACACGTCTGTGCGACAACCGGGACCACTTTTAAAAGTAGTGAAGGCCTAGCAAGTCCATCATGAGGACTTCCAGCGTCTGGTCCGCCTGGTTCACTCGCTGGATTTCGGTGCACGGAGACGGAAGTTGTTTGAGCATCCAAGGGGAATCGCCGGCGGAAACGTAGCCATCGTCGTCAGAGTCGGCCATGTTTCCGGGACGATTCAAAGTGTAGAGATACCAACAGTCTCCGTTCATCTGGCCCAAGCAATACGCAGCGCCATCTTCGAAAACTTCGTCCAGCTTTTGCACTTCCGACGAAAAGTTGCTGTGTGGATCCGGCTGAAGCTCCGGTCGCATAAAATTCTTCCTCGAATAAAATATATCCTGCGAAAAAGTTGAACGAAAAAAGTTTTTGTAACACCGAAAAAATTGCCCAAGGGAGTTCCGCCATAGAAAATTATTTTTTAAAAAGGATTTCGACAGCAGTCATTTTCGAGAATTTTCAACAAAATACAGGGCAACAATTCATATTTCTAACTTGACAAGCGTTGCTCTACATTTTTACACCTGGCATGAATTTCGATCGCAGTAAATTAAATTCATAAATTACTAAAAAACCTCAGTTTTCAGGAATTCCACGATCAGAAGCATATCAAAACAAAAGTAGGGCGACTTTGCAGTAATTTTCAACACCCAGAAAATCGGATCTCAACAGGAATGATTAATAAAAATAAAATAACCTCGACTTCATCGAATCCGCCGTAATTGAATGCATATTGCGTCAGTTTCTTCAAGCATCCGAGCAGCACCGTCGTTCCACAAGTTTTCAAAATGAAACGCCTCTTCGAAATAAACATGCTGCTTTCACTGAAACAAATATCAAGAATTGCGTGTCACAGACGGAAAAAACAGAATTATATTCGAGCATAATGTTACCTCAGCACGTATGAGTCCAGAGAATCGTTCTGCGTGAAACTAATGATCTCACACTTGACCAGATTCATCAAGACCTCCAGCTCGTGCCTACAAGAAAAAAATCATTTGACGGAAAAAAAGAAAATAGACCTAGAGAATGGATTTCAAGTTTTCATCAAGTCCGTACAACATATAAAACATAGTCGAAAAGTCCAATATACATACCAAACAAATTTACTAATACGCACGGATTTACCTTAACCAAGACAACCCAAATCGAATACAAACCCTAAGCAAACCATATTAATCATCCTAATACCCATACAACTATGAAAAACTCAAGGAGACTAATGTTAGTCAAATAAACCCAATCCTAAGTGACTTGAACGAACCCAATCTGATCAAGTGAACGTAATACGACAAAAAACTTACAGTACCAGCTTAACCTCAGTAACAGACGCAATTAAACTGAAAGAATCTAATGTATTCATCGAAACCTAGCTGAAAGTCGAAATCATCTAATTCACGCATTAATCAATAAAAATTATGCATAGCAATCACACAAAAATGACATCACAGCAGTAATATAAACTTGAAGTGATTCAATGCGCCGAGTACAGTATTTCAAAAGATGAAAAGCACTGCTTTATTCAACTAACTCGTGTTCCTTTCTCATCGGTTATCATAATTTCAAAGCAATAATCCTGCTTTCGATTATACGTCCTTGAATGATCTACACATACAATTTTTCTAATTTTGATCCAATGGAGATTACAAAGAACTTTATTCGATTCAGGATACAGAAATCATTAACCGAAGTCACTCAATTTCCCCATAACTGACTGAATATTTTTTCCGTTTTCACGGGAAGATCGGTTATGATAAAATCAGCTTATTTTATAGAAAACGCTCATTGGTTGAAGGAAAGTTTTTCAGATCGAAGAATTCGATCACCTCGGCAACGAGTCATGTCATTAAAACGGATTATCAGCGATCTTTTGAATATTATCACTGAATTTATTCAAGGTCAGTTACGGAAGCGTGCGACGACACACAACATTTGTAAAGCAGTATCACTTACCTCGGAATTTTACGCAAATCTGCATCATCCAGCTTCTCGTCGCGACGAGAAAACCAAACTTCAAGTAGCTTTTCCGTTCCCTCGAAAAAATGCGGAGACAATTCCGACATTTTCTCGCGGGGCGGAAGTCGTAACCCAGAGTCCGGATCTAGCGAGGATTCCATGCTATGTTTTTTCTTTTTAAAAACTTTTTCTTTACCTCGGATCTACAACCCTTGCTTCAACTTCTGATCCCAGCGCACACGAAAATCACAGGAGGAACCGGGGTACAGCCCAGTCTGCAAAAAGAGAGAAGAATTTTAGGAGGAATTCTTCGGATAAGCTACTGCATTACATCAAATATTATCGCAGCTTTGCAACTTTGACACTCTTGAACCCGTAACGAATATTTCAAGACAATCACCGATTTTTCACCATTGATGTCAATTTTCCGGCACGACTCAGGCGCGTAACATCAATGTAGGTTAGTGTGATGTTAAATTGGCAATCAGTCAGCTTATGAAAGCCTCATCCAGATATTCTATTGCGTAAACACCTTGCAGTCTTAACATAGACCAATGTAAAATAATGGTATTTTAGACCGCCATGAACAAGGAAGAGCTCTTGGCTGCCTGAATTCATGCTCATGCGACATCTGTCGGTGGAAAATGAGCTATCTCACCATTGCTTTGCGAATTATAAATTTCAATAAAAATCTAACCGACCCGATCATTTTCTCACTGAATATAACCGAAGTCTAAAAACCTTACATTTGTCCCCTCATTAACGTCACCATGGCTCAGAAATTATGCAATGAATAATTCATCATAAATTGACATCATTCGCTTAGCATAAGAATCAGTTCGTCTCATTAAAACGTTAGTAGCTCAATTATAGCCACAAAGTTCCTTCGACAAGAGCATCGCTGAGTTTCCCTCGTGTAAATAATACCTATAGTCTTACGGAATTTCCTTCAAAAATTCATGATTCAACTCATCGTCCAAGTTGAATGCAACTACAGTATATGCAGCACCGCAGGAAACGATGCACCTGACATGACCCACGACGATAAGGAAGAAACACACACACCCGACCTTGACCTTGGAATGCACGTAGACACATAGTAGCCCTCTGCTAAAACAAACCATATCCTACGCAACCCAAGCCACGGTTTCTGCAGTTTAACCAGCAGCAATTCTCAGACATTTGAAGGACTCAAAACGTTCAACACAGCGTTCACAAAACCCCCGCGGATGCCACTGAAACCACCGGTCATTTAGTCGCGATGAAGTTCAAAATGGACTTCGAAGAACAGTACTGTACAACACATCACCGAAAACGGTTTCCCCGCGAGGATCAACACTTGACTATCTCGAACAATAACGTCACTGATGATGATGGTTGCTCACTGTGTGCAAAAGATTCTCCCCCTTGAGCACGTAAATATCCCTCCGCAGAACAGGGCATGGATGTTCATTCTATAAGTCGGGTTCGCAACCAGTTCACGGGCACATCATCACTGACTGAGCAAAGGACCTGCGCTTCTGAAGAGCAAGTAGTCCTGCGCTCTTGGCTCCCGTCGGTGTGGTTCCGGACGGGTGGAAGGGGAGGGAGCAGGGGCGGGAGGGATATTTGGGAGGGTAGCAATAAAGTTCCCGCGGTTTGGGCTGCCATTTTATAAACGGGCCTCGGTTTTCTAAAAATTCCTTCTCGAGAATAATGGATGATTATACATTCTCCGCATTTCAGGCATTAAAGCTCTGTGAGTTCATTAAAAGGTGTTTCCTTATGCACTTCGTCTGTAAAATTTGTACAGACGTCAACTTAGAAGAATTTGTTTGATACGAATGTGTTCTTTGACAACAATCCAGGGATGTGTATACAGCAGCAATGTGATTCCAGTTTCAATGAAACAAACTTTGTATCATAAGGGTCTACCCATGCCGTAAGAAATGTTGCATGTCCAGTATAGAATGTTCCAACAGCCCGTCTCACACAAAAATATATTTTGTGCATACAAAAAACTGTACATCTTTTATAAGGCTTTGCAGTAACAATATAAATTCTACCTGTAGCGTATTTCCTTGTATTCATTTTCTTTTGCAATTTCGAAACAGAAGAGACAAAATGACAAATCTTGAAAAAAAAAAGTATTCTACGTACCATGCGTAAAGAACTCCGTTTCAAATTATTGTAAAGACAGAACTTTTGTACGATTCCTTCGTTAGGGAAGGAATGGGTACTCTAAAGAGAGTATTCTATGGATGGAACACTCAGAGAAATCCGTCACAAGGAGAAAAGAGAGAATAATCATTGCGACTGCGTGCGAAAAAAATCTAATAAAGAAGGTCGTAGGAAACAAGGCAGGATATACAGGATTTCAGAAATTTAATTCTCTCAAAATCCGGGGTTAAAAAATTAGGAAGGCCATGTTGGAAATAAGACACTATATATATAGCAGCAAAATTCGCTCAATTCGAATTCAGGGTTTTCAAATTGTCACTGCATTGTAATTAATGGCTATTTTCCAACTGAAAAAAAGCTGAAAAATTCGTTCATATACAAAAATTAAAAGAGAACCCTGAAATCTATTTTTACGCATACCCGGTACTACGTTATTCCGTTCACGGGAATTTTTAAAATTTGTGCATGTCGCTACTCTTTTATGGGAACTAGAAACTTTTGTGAAGCACGTCTCCGTTTTATAGTTTTCTTAACAAAGTTTTTTAAGGCCACTAGAAAGCGTGTGTACCTATTTAGATCGGAAATACAGTATTCAAAATTGAGCAAATTAAACCTTGCATGAGAGGATAAATATAGATTTAATTTTTCTGACGGGGAACCACAACCATAAAAAATTCGAACACACCACATTTTATATTAAATTTAAGAAAACGTTAATTTTTCCATTCTCAGCAAAAGATGCGCAAAGGCATGGTGGATCTTACAGAAGTTCACTTACAGTCACTTGCTTTACCATGCACCGAAAAAATTCTCACGGTTCAGAATAATTGACAAAAATGAATGCAGAAATTTCAGAAATAATGAACATATCTCGTCCAACGCATCAACAAAAGCAGGAAATATCGACTACAGTGACTGAAAATAAATTTAAATATAACTCGATCTTATTGTAACGAATCTCGCCTGATTTCTATCACGTCACATTTAAAAACTTCGATTAGTCATACAGAATTACTCTATTCTCTCAAAACATGCTTGAAAATCAACATCCAACTAGTGATTTATGAGACATGAATAATGCGAATATCGTTTTTAAACACGTACAGCGATGAGAAAATACCCTTGATCTTTGAAAACACTTCGTGCAGAGGCAAAATATCAAAAGAATTGTTTCAAAAAATTCCGGTGATCTTTCGCACACATGGATAAATCTAGCCTAATACAGTATTCAAAATTAAGCAAATTAAACCTTGCATGAGAGGATAAATATAGATTTAATTTTTCTGACGGGGAATCACAACCCGAAAAAATTCGAACACACAAAATTTTATATTAAATTTAAGAAAACGTTAATTTTTCAATTCTCAGCAAAAGATGCGCAAAGGCATGGTGTGTCTTACAGAAGCTCACTTACAGTCACTTGCTTTACCATGCACCGAAAAAATTCTCACGGTTCAGAATAATTGACAAAAATGAATGCAGAAATTTCAGAAATAATGATCATATCTCGTCCAACGCATCAACAAAAGCAGGAAATATCGACTACAGCGACTGAAAATGAATTTAAATATCACTCGATCTTATTGTAACGAATCTCAGGACTAAAGATAGTGCAGTGTAAATTTTTGAAGCTAATCAGTATGTCTTAATGAGATAAGAGAGTTTTGTACGAACTTTTAGTTGTAGGTTGATCACTAAATACTCTGTACTTATTACGCTTATAGCGCACATATTTCGACTACCCCGCACCAAAAACTAGCATTTTGCATGCAAATCTAATACGCCACGAATTCCCAAACACACACCAAAAGAACTGTATTTTTATTTTCAAATAGAAAAATCGGAGAAAGATTGCTTTCGTATTCATGCTGGAAAATGGTAAGCAGGACCTCAGATTGAAAATCTGTTCACGATCTAAAATCTCTTGCATGGAATATAAAGTAAAAGATAATAGAAAAACTAGACTTTTCTATTGTTAGAAATCAGGAAAAATATGCGTGCAGGTGGTAGTCCAACACATGAAAGCTTCCCACGAACATAACGTGCAAAGAAGTCCATTTCTACAATCACATCTTGAATTTACTAAAAAACAAGTGAGCGTGCATTTTGCTTAAAGAGAAACTTTTATTGGAAGAAAAAGTATATGTCATATACTGTTGCTATGTATAAATACGCACCTAGATCGAGCGTCAAGCACTTGGGTACCTTTATAATGTTCTTTTTTAATAAGTAATGTTAAAAAGTTAAGTTTAAGTTTATTTTTATTAAGTTTAAAAATGTTTAATTACTGACATTCGAGTTGAAAGACTAAGACATGCCAGGTCTAGATTTACACGACCTGAATCGAGCTCTAAAATCACAAGAGCAGAAAGAATGAAAACCCTAATTTACAATTTTTTAAACGGTCTCTCTAAAATGTTTTTGTTCACCGCAGTATTCTTCATATAAACGAATTTCGTTTCCCAAGTATCTAGGGTAGTTAAACCCATCTAAAGTTTCTTCTTGGCACACGAGTCTTTTTTTGTTCAAATATCGAATACATTTCTGCATGCATAAAAATGCTTCTTTTGTTCTATAAGTCCATCTGAAATTAATTTTGCCTCATTTCAAAGAAAGTACTTGTTCAACATATTCGAGGAAATTAATTTCAGCAACAAATGATTTAAAAATCATTGATCAGACTTTTACTAAAATTCCTTCATGTCTCTCTTATTTTCGCAAAATTTGCCTCATTTCAAAGAAAGTACTTGTTCAACATATTCGAGGAAATTAATTTCAGCAACAAATGATTTAAAAATCATTGATCAGACTTTTACTAAAATTCCTTCATGTCTCTCTTATTTTCGCAAAAATTAAAAAAATCAGACAACATAGAAGATTTATCAAGACAGTTGAAATTCTGAAAAGCTGATATTTTCGCTCTAGTAAACATGAAATTTAATACAGCTACGTGTCTTCCATTCGAAGTTTGGCAAGTAAATAAAAATGCAAAGAAAAATTGAAAAGAGCCAACTTTTTGACTTTACCTTTTTAGATCATTAAAGATCGAAACAAGTTAAATCCATGCGCTAGTTTAATAAAATTTCTCAGTAACAATAGCTCCCATAAATCCTGCAAAATTTAAAAATGAC